AGGAGGTCCACCCAGAACTCAGATATATACACCTTTGGAAGGGCCGTTCTGGGGCATGAAAAAGAGACTAAATGAGTTCGGCCAACACGAGAATCAAGAAGAGGAGGCAGAGAGGCCACGCGATGGAGAAACGTTGGGAAGGGCCCAGAACCAAGGACATAGTTCTCAGGAGGCACACATCAAGAACTAGGCAGCATAACTGCGTATCAATCAGCATTCAGAAACACTGTCGTGAGATTTCAGAATGGGGACACAGAAAAGACAGATTTCTTTCACTCAAATGGCAGATTGGCAGCAACCTTCTCAGCAGCAGCCAGTGAGTAATGCCTTAAAAATTGTAATAAAAAATAGCTGTCAACAAGGAACTCAGCATCAGCTAAATAGTCATTGAAGAATCTGCTCAAAATAAAGACTAAGTAGATTCATACGTTTTAGAAAGAATTGCCCAGAAACACTTGCCAAAAGAATTACCAAAGGAGACATTTTAGCCTGATAAAAACTGAGCACTGGAAGATGGCAAAATATGTTCATACATATAATTAACTGTTGTCGACCGAAATTTAGTGTTTTTAAAGAATGAAACAAAAACTTGAGGCAATGAGAAGAGGAAATGGCCTCAAATGGTTGGAAAATGTTGCTTCGTTAGAAATGCAGGATTGTGCTGACTCTTCCACTTCGCTCAGCGCCTCGGTCCACTCTGTCCTCTCGGGCTGGCCTCAAGGCTCCCATCAGCTCTGCCTCCCCCAGGCCTGGTTACAGGTCTCTGGACTGACCACACGCCTTCTCTACTCTGTGTCTATGTCCCCAACTGTACAACATCCCTGCTACAAACTTACACTGCCTTTTTAGATAAGACAATCTGCCTCCGAGGAAGGAGCCAGGAGAATTATTCCAAGGCCTTGAGATCTAATCAAGATTTTCCAACACTTATCTTGGTAGACTTCAGTGACTCTACTGGGCCTATTTTCTGCCTTTTGACAAGGAATTTCTATGCAACCACATTGGTTTTGTTGCCTCTCTGCAGATTGTCTAGAAGTTGCAAGTGCAATTTCCAAATGTCCTGCAGGTTTGCTACAGAGAGAGCTCAGCGGTCTGAGTGCCTGCCTGGCAAGCCCAAGGTCCCAAGTTCGATCCCTGGGACTATATGTGGTGCCAGCATCAGACAGGGCAGGGCATAGTGGCATAAGATTTATAATCCCAGCACTGGGGAGGTTGAGAGAGGAGGATCATTATGAGTCTGAACTGCAGAGGGAGACCCTGTAGCAAATAAATAAAGAGAAAAGAAACTCAAAGATCCGGCAGGTGCCTCTTGGCTATTTTGTCACCTTGTGACCAAACAGAAAAGTACTGGGGAAAACAGTTGGCAACACTTTGGAAGTGCAGATGGGATGCAGGAAAGAAGAGCTACTCTTGATTAGTCCAGCAGAGCCCAGCCAGCCACATGCACATTAGGTTTGCTCACTGAATCCATGTCTATTTTGAGTTTTCTAGACTCCACATCTTTCCTGTTTGAGGTTATTTTCTTCCAACCTACTTTCCATTCCATCCTTCACCTCTAAGTAATTTGTTAGTTAACCAGTCTGGTTATTTTTTGTTGTTTTTCAGTTCCAGCCTTCCACTCTGGTTCATTTTTAGCTCCAGCATTATTCTAGCTTGTACTGCCTTAAACATGCTCAGCATAATTATACTAAGGCTCGCGCTTGTTGACTTCCTTATCTGGACTTCCTCTGGGCCAGTCTTTGGTTTCTTCGGTCTCCTTCTTCTTCCCCTCCAGTACTGGCGATGGAACCTGGGGCTTTCATACTGAGCTACAGCCCCAGTTTATTTTTTGAGACAGGGACTCACTAAGTTTTCCAGACTGGGCTTGAACTTGGAAACTTCCTGCCTCAGTCTACTAGCGTGCTGTTTCACAGGCATGAACCACCATGGCCATATTTCTTTTCAATCACATGTTAATGTTGCCCTTCGTATGACACGTTATACTCTAGGAAACCGTGGTTCACTTAAGATTTCTGGGGAAGCCCCCGCTGACCCTGTGGCCCAGGTGCAGTGTGGCAGCTCATGAAAGCGCGAGAACATGGCGCTGCGCTGCGAGTGGCCTGGAGCCTGCCCTGCTTGTGAGGCCTTGGTGGCCACCTCGCCCTGCCCAGTTCGGCCCTGGCACCTGTGGGTGGGGGATACACAGTCTCTGAGTGCCAAAGAGGCTCTGCTCTTGGTTCATAAATTCTCAGAGAAACACAACTGAATAACAGAATGGCACTGAGGGTACAGTAGGTTTCTATTTTTTTGGTGGTACCAGGGATCCAACTCAGGACCTTGAGCTTGCAGGGCAAGCACTTATTCCACTGAGCTAGAATCAGGAACTTTGCACAGGAAGCTTTAGGACATGTTGTTTGCTGTAGTCTGCCTGAAATTGGAACAAAATTGAAAAAACACAATGTTTGGTTTGGAAAGCATGAAAGACGACAGTGAACTCTATTCTGTCAAGAAAAGTAACTGAAAAAAAAGAAAAAAGAAAAGTAACTGAAATTAACGAAGCACTTGCAGAAAATCCAGGGCCCCTCAACAACTCTTGTTATGAAGATGGCTGGCTGATCAAAATGACAGGGACCCTTCAGAACTAGACCAACTCATGAGGAAGAAGCCTGTGAGGAATAGGTGAAATCGACTGAGGAGCGAAACACCGCCCTAATCTCAGGAAATCAACTGAGGAGCAAAGCACCACCCGAAATAAACTAGTGTGAACAGACTTCAGCAGAGTTGTCTGCAGTTATTGGCAGACAAAAGATTTGAGATAACAACTTTTAGTGGTACTACAATGATGGGGAAGAAATCACTGGTATCGCTGCTCTTGGACAAAAATACCCCTTAACTCCCTAGTGACTGCCAATAAACACCATGTGTATCTTTTTATACTTGATGAGTTTTAGACTAGGCTGTAGGCTCTGATATTCAGAATTCATGAAACCATCCATGGGAAAAGTTAATTATAAAAGTTATGTAATTCAAGGATAACACTGTTATATGCCTTATGTAATGAATGCTGTAGCTTGCTTACATGTCTTGGATTTGGTTCGAGATACTTAAAAGAGTGTGTGTCACTTGTACAAAGTCATATAAAGGATGACTTTCTTAATTTTACAATAGACAGCATTGTCTGGGGCTGTTTTTATACAGTGAAGCGACAGCTTTGCAACACAAGAAGAAATAAAATATTCAACCTTAGAAAAAAGATCTCAGGCGATATATCCTTCCTCTCCAGAAGGCAGTGAGGTAGGTAACATTGCACCATTTCAATGCAATCGAGGAGGTTCAATAAGATCTGCAGCTGAAAATAAAATAAAATAAATAAAGATCTGCAGCTGAGCTTCAGTCCTCACACGGCGAGCCCCTTTTTCCGGTTCTCCCTTTACCTAGAGTCCCCAGCGTTTCCGGCCCCTGCTTCACCCCAGGGTTTTTCAGCTGCTAGCTCTCCTAGGCAGTCTCAGAATAAAAACTTGCCCTGTGGTCATTGGTCTGCGGAGAGCTTTTGCTCAGTAGTTTAGTCTTCCCGTGCTGCTTCTAGATGGGCGGATGCTCTTGGGAGAAACACGACACCACAACCAAGCTTGCATTTCTGGAATTCCTTTGTTCTTGACCCCATTACTGACTCTTTCCGTTAGCTACAATACCGTTGGGTTCTCCCCACCCCCTTTTATTTTGCTGTTTGTTTTGCTGTAATGGGATGCAAACCCCGGGTATCCTACTCGGCGAGTTAAGTGCTCTCCCGTGCAGCTGCATGCCAAGGCCAGTGCGGTCCCTCCTAGAGTGTTCAGGCGCGCCAGTTTCTGTGGCGGGGTTGTCCGAAAGGGCTCCCTTCCCCTCACAGCGAAAAGCACAGCGATCCTGCCCTTCAGTGCCTCCTGGGGTTAAAACACTCGGTTATCGGTCAGGACTCCTCTTCTTTCAGGGATTGCGTGGCTTCAGGGTGCGTCCCCTCACTGCACCGCGCTCCCAAGACGCCGTGCCCTGCCTGCTAACTGGGTGCAGAAGCGCCCCGCTGAGATGCGAGGGCACAAGTGGCGGCTCCGGCCGGGTCAGCTCCGGCTCCGGCCCGCCGCCGCCCACACCCGCCGTCGCGCCCTCCGCGCTAGGTCACCGCGCGCCCCCTGCGCAGGTGCCGGAGTGGCGGGCTGCAGGAGCCGGGAGGGCGGCCGCGCCGGCCGGTTGGTGACCTGCGCCTCCCGCGAAGGGGCTTGCAGGAGGACACGGGCCCGTGTTGCGCCCTCTGCCGCCTGCTGGCGCGCCCGACCGCGCAGTCTTCGCGCAAGGCCGCCCTGTCCCTATGCTCTCGCCACCTCCTGCCCTTTCCTACTCTGCCTAACCCGCCTGCCTACTCCCCCGCACTTTCTTTGGCGCTCTCTCGCCTCCACCCTTTTGCCCGGCAGAAGCGGCCGAACGCGGATCCGCACCCGCAGCACTGCGTGCTCCGCCGCGTGGCCCCCACGGGCCTCCGTACGGCGCCGTCTCCATGGTGACCGCGGAAGCCGGGAGCCCTCCTTTGTTGAGTGGTGTCTCTCGGTTTCTCTGCGGCCGGGCTTTGGAAGTGCGAGCGGTCGGGGGTCCCGAGGTGTGACAGGCGGGGGCCAGGGAATCGGGGGTGGGGGGCTTGGCCTTGGGGTGGATACAGGACCGGGGTCACCGGCTGTAGGGCGTGGGCGCGGTGTCTTCCCGGTGGGCGGCCGGGTGAGGCGCCGTGTCAGCTGGCGCCCGCGGACGGCACTTCTCGGGCTGGGAATTTGAATCCCAAACTTCGGGTCTCCTCCAGCTGGGCCAGATGGGGAAGCAAGCCAGGAGGCGCCAGCATGCTGCAGCCGGCAGGGTGCATGCAGGCCTCCGGTTGCCCTCTCGCCTCGCCGGGGTTCGCAGCAGACAGAAGCCAGTCTTTTCTAGTTCTGAGAAAACCACCCACCGTACAAAGCGTCGGAGCTCCGGCGGTCTAGGCCGGGCCCCTTTCTCATCCCGCAGGCCGGGGCGTCTCCGGAGTTGTGTGCCCTCGGGAGGCTGCATGGCCGACTGCAGCTCCTCCTCTCTGAACAGGAGGCAAACGTAGGCACACACCCGCCCTTAGGGGTGCAGGGGACACATACATGTAAAAGCTGTGGCAGTCACTGCCGGACACAGTGGCATTACAAGTGGAGGTGTACCTCGGCAGTTGAGGTTTTGATTAAAAGTTAAAATCTTGGAATTCTATGATAGGAGAAAGTGTGTGTGTGTGTGTGTGTGAGAGAGAGAGAGAGAGAGAGAGAGAGAGAGAGAGAGAGAGAGAGAGTTTTAGATGAGGCTTCTCAAAGTTGCCCAGACTGACCCGTGTCATTCCTCTTACCTCAGCCTCAAAAGTAACTGAGATTGCAGGCATGAACCACCAGTCCCTGCTAGAAGCAGGGAATTTTAACCTGAATGTGTTCTCCTGTACTTTACACAAAATCAAGTCACTGTAGGTCTGTAACAGCGTTCTATTTGGTCTGTGTAGTTGTGTCGGTGTAATTTGCCATCTCTGGGCTCCTCCATCTCACTTTGCTGCTTCCAGATGACTCCAGGCTACCGAGGATGAGCTGTGGCCACTGGAGGGCGACAGATGGAGGCAAGCTGCGACTCCGGAGCCCCGGCGGGGGCTGCTGAGGCTCCCAAGGAGAATGCTGGTCAAGCCAGGATCTTGCCAGCCTCCCCCTCCAGAGACATCCACAAGAATAGTAAGGGGACCGTCTTTTCATCTTCATCAACTTTAGACTTGAGTCAAAGTGGCCTGCGCCATCTGGAAAAAGTCTTTGTAATCCCCAACCTTCAAGTAAGTGGTTTTTCTTGGGAGACGTTAGCAGACAGACACTCCATTGACAGAAGTGGAAAACGGAACGTTCAAATTTTCCTTGTAGGGCTTTTTTCTCTTTAGAGGAGATTCCAGAATGAGACAGGGGGAGGGTTAATTTGGGTTTCATGTGCTGATGACAACACAAAAATTGAGATAAGGGCACCAGCTTGTCTGTCTAGGAAGGGAGCCGGTGTCCCACCTTGCATGTGACTTCAAAGGGAAGTCTCAGGCACCAAAACCAAAACAAATCTGCAGTGGAGACAACTGTGGTCTCTGATTTAAAATACATAACCCTTTAAAAGCTCCAGCAGTATTAAAATAGTTAGAAACTATTTCTCTCACTGTTGCTTACTTTGTTAATGTTCCACATCCCATTTCCTTTTCGCCAGGGGCTTTCTTCAGGGAAGTCCCAACAGATGATGTCTTGTTCTTGTGCTTAGAGGACTGTGTTGATGGTGGACAGAGCAGGGCACTTCCCAAGCAACGTCCTTGGGGAAGTCACATGGCCTCTGGGTGTACCTGGAGGCATGCGCATGGCTGTGCGTCCTCATCGCATAATTTTCTTAAACCTCATTGGATTTCACCTGGTATCTGGGAATGGTAATAGTTTCATGAATTTGTGTGTGTGTGTGTGTGTGTGTGTGTGTGTG